GCCCCCTCCAACACACACGAACGCGCACATGACCAATGAGGGCACGAGATAAGTTTGTGCACGAGATGGAAGGCTGACAGGCAGGTAGGCCATCCAGTTATTTTAGCCGGGCCGAGGCAGATAATTGGTCGTGCTTTTTACAGCGCCACGGCTTCCACAGATGACATTTTTTTAATGTATTTATATTGTCAAAGCATTTAATGTATTCCTTGCTATCGGGATGTTAAGAGCATTCCATGGAATATACTGTAACAAAAAGTGTTTCTGAAGTGAATTACCTACCCCACCTTTAAGGATGTATTAATAAAAATAAAACACATTCAAATAATTGCTTGATCTGCAAAATACACTCTAAAAGGGTATTCATTTTCACTCTGATACTGGTACTTTTGAGTGGGCATTTGCCATTTAAGATATAGAGAACAATGTGTGAAACAGATTTAGCGCTTGCTTGGGAATTTCCAAAAAATTTTAATATCTGAAAACCACAGATTTAGTCTAACATAAATCCTCCAACCAGGGGGAAATGGTGGTTGAGGTTACAGATGAAGGCTATGACAGTTTTTCATGCTGTATTTCCAGTCATGTGACTTTTATCGCTGTGCAGACTCTCCTGTGGCCTGACACATTCAGCTGATGCTGGACGGTTAGAGTACTGCCTTCGACCTACTGAGGACATGCTCTCCCCCCCGATTACTTCAACCCAACAGACGCTCAGCACAGCTGTTCCGTTCTGTTAGATTTAACACAAAACATATCCAACATTTTGCAGCAGTTTACAGGCATAATAAAGATGATGTTAGATATCTACAGCTAAATTAAGAGCTTGTTTCCCCAGATCCCCCGTCACTACACCGTGACATCCTTCTGGAAATGGGTGTTAATTGAAAAGCAATTTACGGAAACAGATGGCAATGTCGCTTTGCCCAATCTATTAAATACCTGGCAAACCAAGGAATATCATACAACTGATACAAAAACCTGTAATTTGATTTAACAACAACACATATTTTTACTGTGGAGAGTCTACCCATTGTTTCGTCAATAAGCTGATATATTTCAGAAAATAGAACAAAACATGCAACATCACAAGGCACGAGTTGCCATGTTCAAAGTGAATGTTTTGTTCGATCATTACTCAATTAAATTAAATCAATATTTAATATAATAACATAAAAAGGCAAGAAAAACCTAAAAAGACTTGCATTTGTGAAGCTGTAACAAGCAGATGATGGCTATTCTTGCTTGAAAATCTAATCATGACTTAACCGATTGCTTGATTATCAAAATAGTTACCGATTAATTTAATCGATTAACCTAGTGATGTTCTACATAACTCCTGGATAGATAAAATAATATATGAAAATATTGTATATATATATATTTCTACGTATGGCCTTTTCTTTTGCAATGTGATTTGAATGCCCCTGATATTCGTTAGGAAAGATAACAACACATGAATAAAAAAACATTTTTCTGTAGAAGCTGTTGTTATTTCAGCTGCCTAACGGACAATCTCCATTTACACAATCTTTGGGCCGGGTCAGCACCACACTGCGGGAAACAGCCTTGGGCCAATTGTGGCTTCATGTACACCAGAAGATAACGAGATCCTTTTCCTTTGTTGTCTGCATTGTTGTATTTCTGTATAATTGCACTGCTTGATTACATTTGAAATGACTGCCAGCTCATTATTTTGTTCAGTGTATCATACGCTGCAAACTAGCAATGGTTTAATGCTTAATCGTAAAAAAGCTAATTATATTCAAACCAATAAAAACGGTGGTTATGAAACATATTTGTATACAGGTGTGAACACATGCAGACGGATTCAATCTGGTAAATTTCTGGCGTTGAGGGTCCAGCTTTGAAGAGATTTGGACCGTTTGGTTTGGCTTGGCTCCGGTCCACACAGTCTAAAACAACCGTTCACTGACCTGGCAACAACAATCCCACACTGCAGGCAGCTGTGTGCTTATGACACTGCTGCGACCGCTGTGTGTGTGTGTGTTTTCTCTCCATATAAAAACGATGGGTCGTCTTACGTACACGGCCTTATCTCACACAGCAGGAGGCTGGAGAGTTTTGACACCACTGGTATGTGCATACGTGAGATCCCTCACATAAAAGGCTGCCGGTTCAGCTGAAGTACATCTAATGAGAATGAATCACAGCAAGCCTGACTCACTACAGTGCAATATTTAATTAAGGTCACTGAGATAAATGGATTTAATATATAATTTAACTCTTGGAGAACAATGTTCTTCTGGAACAGAGTTTGGGGATCCAATAAATGTAAACAAATCTGTATCGGTTGTTATTTTTAAATAGTCTGGGAAGTCAAGAAAGTATATAAAAAACATACGTTAGCAGTTAATTAGGCACACATAGCTAAAGCTTCACTGTATAATCATTTAAAAACGTTTACAACTTATCAATTGTTCTCAAATGTCTTTGTTGATTGAAAGGAAACTGAATATCTTTTGGGTTTGATTGATTGGTCAGGCAAAACAGTATAATAAGTTACTTGAAAATGAAGAATTATATTGAAGATATTTTCATAATATGATCTGTCATTTTTGGAGAAGGCAGATAAGAGCTGGAATCGACCGAGGACATTGAGGTTATGTGGTACATGACTAGCGAATCAATAAGTAAAAATAGTTGGAGCTACAGTAGTTGCTAAAACAAATACAGTTGTACAGCAGATATCCACTATCTAGCCAGCACCAACAACGGCAACCTCTAAATGGTTTAATCAATGAAGAATGTACACTAAAACCTAAATGAAGGTCAAATGTATTTCAGGACTTTTGTATAAGACTGCATTAGTTGAAGCAAGTGCAACCCATTATTCCACAGTGTACTACAGCAGCTGACTCAACAACAGTTTTTCTAAAATGTTTCCAACATCAGCATCACTGCAAAGTTGACCTTTAACTTAAGTCTGCCTATAGACATATCTGCTGTCTCTTACACAACAACCCAGTTGCTTTGCTAACAGGTTAAACTTTAGTGAGCTATAGGACAGGTTTTGCATAAGACCCTCAGATAAGACCACAGACCATGTGTAATCCACAAAGACAGGATCAATTCAGATTGTTTTGTTTGTTGCTGAGAAACTGAAGTCAGGAAGCCAAAAGCACACAGTCCAAAAGAGACCGGTCAGCAGTGAGCACTTCGAATCATTAGTATATCCTGATAGCGGCAGCAGAAGTGATTTTTTCTTTCAGATAATAAAGGTTTCCTGCTCTTTGTATTATTTTGTTTTCTCTTTCTTTAGCCAGGAAGGTCCCATTGTATTACAACATCCAATCTTCCTGGGAGATCCATAGAGTACATTAGTATATTGTTAAATGCATTATCTAATAGGCATGTAGTGCAGAAGTGCTAGAGGCTGTAGCAAGACAATCCAGCCAGGACAGTTATTTATAGTACATTAATAACTTCCTCTACGTCAATGTTGAACGTACTTTTCTCAAGAGGGCTTTTACTTAAACTCAGTTCCAATACTGGCTTGGTTTCCTTTCCCCTGCATACTTCATCAAACACCTTATGATATTATTTCTGAATTGCATCTCATGTTTCAATCATATTTTAAATTCTGATTTGATAAATGCAAAGATATTGTTATAAAAACTGCAATCATTATTAGATGTGTTGATATTGGCAATGTTGTAAGACTGCAGCGAACAATGACTTTGTATTAGCCATTGAAGTGCCAATTGTTATTGCAAAAATAGGATTAATGTTCAGTCCACAAAAGGTCTAAAAATAGTGAAAAAAAATCATATGCTTAGGTCTATTAATTGCTTGTTTTTTTTAAGTTAACATCCATATTTCCCTATTAATATCATATATAAAGCTGGAACAATGGAACAGTATTCTTTTACGAGAAATTACTCAACAATTGATCGACCGATAATATAATGCTTCAGCTCCAAAATGCTGCAAAACCATCTTCCAATATTTCTTCCTATGAATTAGTGACAGTGATTTTTATGTATGCTTTATAACGTCCATATGTACTTACTACAAATGTTTGCGTTATACGTGGGCACCCAGCACCTTCAGTATATTTGTAATACACACTTCTGCCTATTATACACCATATGAAGAACAATCCGTCCTAATTCAGGGCAATGGCCGGATACGATTATTCAATGAGCAGAAGATTTCAGATAACCCAGAAACGAAAGTCAGCCTGTCCAATCCTTTAAAACGACGTGTCTGACACAATTATTACACAGAAAATCTATTCACCAGCAAAAAGCACAGACAGAACAGATTAATGGCAAACACTGTCTGCCAGAAAACACCAGAACATTCCTGCACAGACAGTTTAATACAACCGAGCTGTTGGAGCATCTGTGCAAATGAGGAAGCTTTCCAGAAACAGTATGAACAGAAAATTAAACTACCGGCGACAGTTCAAAAGCCCTTTCAGACAAAAGTGTGCATTTTTACTCGGTTTTGAATTATCAAAAAACACTCGTCTTACAGTGTGTCTTACAGTCCGGATGCAAAAGCAAATAATAAATACTTGTATTCGACAACAATATTAAATGTCTGCCAAACTGATAACAAGTGGCATTATTCAGTTTTGCTTGTAAAACATATAATAAACATAAATATTTAATTATTCAAGCCAGTTTTCCCCTTTTCTGTCTCCGAGTGATCTCACTGAGCCTGTGGAGGTGCCACAGATGTGATGGAACTGCCTCCGTAGATAGCCGTTAGCCGCTACTCCCAATGAACACAAATAAACTAATACACCTTTTAAAACAACCACTGTGCACTTCAATGTTAGCCTCTAAACCAAGACACCAATATAGCACGTAAATTAAAAACAAACACGTAGGAAATATTTGGTCATAAAAGACAACACAGAGCGTCATACACAGTTAGCTTTAGCATGCTAGCAGCTAGCTTCTGAGATGCTGTGAGTGAACCAGAGGAAGCGCTGTTAGCAAAGGGAAGCTAATCAGTCAATATCTTACCAGGTCAAAACAAACAGCACCGCGCAGCAAGATGCATTAATTTCTTGTTTGTTTTCTGTAGCCGATGTCTGGAGAGACGGTGACTTCGATGAAATCAGTTAAGACGTTGCAGAAATATCGTCGGGAACATTGCAAAGACACTCGATAATAATGTGGTTCCTGTTTTTTTGCTCGGATGCCCGTTTGCAGGTCGTTGCTTAGCGAGTTGGTCTACACACCCTCAAGGGACGAACCTGCCAAATACTGGCCCCGCCTCTCTCACTAGCAACACAGCGGGGGACAGCTGCCAAACACTGACCCCGCCTTGCAGACAGCAGAAATGCAGACGGTGGCATTTATCAGACACAAAATATGATAATTAAGCATCAAGCATTCATCTGTTTGCTTTTCCCATGTGTATTTACTACTACAATAAGCAGTATTTATTCCTGTAAAGTTTTGTATGTATCATTCTGTTTGTAGCTCATCTTAGTCTATTTTACATCTTCCTACGCATTTAGTATATTGGTCACGTGCAACATTCCCTTGCACTATTTGTTATTATTTTATTGTTGATGTCTTATTCATATTGCATTGTTAAATTAGCTTGGGACTAAACATTTTCATTGCCATAACGACACTTTAGCTACTGTGCACATGAAAACCAAACCTTTGAATCTTGAAAATAATTGTTTCTTTAATTATCTGTGATAATGATTTGTGTTGTCGTTATTGACTAGTTTAATCAACTCCATTTTTATGTCACAATTTATGTAGAGTAGGTAACCTAAAAAAGTGTGAGCAAGACCCCCTGTGATGATAAATGGTATTGACATATGTTATACATTCTATGAAAAAAATTGTTATCGCACCCAGAGGAAAAGCTTTTTATGGCAACCATTGTATAGGTATTGATTGACAGAGGGCATGGCATCATATTGATTCCAAATTTGTATTAAAACAAATATATATATATTTGTATATTTGTATTAAAATCCAACTATAGGGGAAACCCTATAGTTGGATTAATAAAGGGGCTTCTTATTACCAATTATTTTAGAAGAACGCATAGTTTATACACAATTGAACTTGTTTAAATTTCTCAAAATTCTAATATAATCAGATGGAGATAATCTTCATCTCACCGTCTTCATCTGCAGACGAGTTTGCTCAGCTGCCATAGTGATATCAACATTTTAATATATTAAGATATCGTGAAAGTGTCTTTATGTCAGTCTTAAACACGCTTTGTCAAGCTTGGTTTTGGTTCAACTGAAGTGTGTACTTACCTGAACATATTTTTCTCATTTTTTCAATACTTGTTTATATTGTGAAACTTCGCACCATTCTATGATTCAAGATTTGATCAATGCACAAATATCATTTACAGTATGATATTGACTTTAGAAAATATTATTATTTTGCCTTTTAGCCCCCCAATATGCAAGTAGGAATTGGTGTCCTTCTTTGTATGGAAAGTGACTTTAGAATCTGTATGTTAATATGCACAATCATTTACTTTTAAATCCCAACGGCTGAAATGTTTACAGGTAAACTATCCCTGCATTGTTTACTGTAAACATGCATAATAATACTGTTGCCTGCTTTTCACATGACAAATATCGGTTGGTATTTGCCCCCACCTGGTGGACTGCTTGTCTCACAGCACTTGATGTTAAACATCTTCCTCCTCACACATCTGAAACAGAATTGTATGATTGTAAAAAGTTACTTCAGTGAATGAATGCAAACAGGAGCTGTTCTATAGACACTTTATTGCTCTGTTTATTGTTTTTACACTCAATATTTCCCCTTGGGCCGGACCAAACACTCCCCCTCCCAATTTCTGTTACCAAACCAAGATTTAAATAGCAAAAACATAACTAATAATGCAGTAATACAATATACACGACACTATAAAGTCTTAAGTTGAAATCCTTCTCACTAACATATAGGCTATACTGGTCCATTTACAAAATGCTTCTTTATATATTTTTCACATAAGATATAAAACAAGAGAAATGCACATTCTTTAAAATGTAAATAAAATGTGTTGTTTCTGTATATATGCAGATATATATTCGTGTGTGAATTCAGTTCCATGGCAACAAGTCAACACCCAGCAGTCGATATAATAACCAAGTGTATCAACAGTTTACAGAATAATAACATGTTTCGATTGTTCAGGAGATCTAATAATATGTGACGGGACTACGGATGGAAATGAGCTCAAAGCTAAAATCCGGCTCATTTACAGTTGTAAGCATTATTTTGTTTTAAAGTGTTCATCAATGTGCACTGTCCCGATTCAAATAAAAGATTAAATGAAATAAAATAGATGTAAAAGAGTATGAACAGCAACGTAGGATTTTAAGAGACAGTTACACTGTATTTTGTGATTTTATATAGATAAAATTACCAAAATGTATATAGAGAAGTATTTCAGGCGCCTTCAAATGCTTTTTTTCATACCAGAATGATACAATGTAAAGCCCATTTTGAACGATGAGTTTGAACATATTCTGTATAGTTCTTGTTGTCGCCAAATCCTATGAAAAAAAACCCAAAAATGAATCAATCCTACACAGTCGTGTCCGGGTATCCCCTGCCAGATATAGCTTCTTTGTCAGAATTGCTTTTTTAGTATAATTATTAATTATATGATACGCTTTTAAAAACAAATGTTTCCTCCAACCCAGAGAATGTACTGTACAAAGAAATGGCACACACATCTGATATTTGTATTTAACATCTACTGAAACTACACCCTGCCGGTTAGTAAGATAATATTTTACACAATGGGCGCCGAGGGACTGAACAATAGAAACGTCTGTATTATATGTAACTGTACACTGACTGCCGCTCCTCTGCGAATACAGAGAATCACATTGAGAAAAGTTATGGCTACATTTTGACTAAAACCTCTTAAATGCCAGATCCTAAATGTTGGCATTGTACAAATGTCCTACCTGTCATACTGAATACAGAGGATTGAAAAAAGCAACATTTGAAACACCCCCACTTTGTTTTCTTAAGGAAAGTTTTCCTGTTTCTTCAGAATTACACATTCTTAACTTTGTAAGAAACCTAAAATCAAATCCCTTTAAGTAACAACTGAACACAAATGGTGGAGTCTCGTCCACTTTTGGACAAGTTTAACTACAGTTGAAGAGACTGGAGTGGTGAGTGACTGTAACTACAGTGATGGCCGACTAGAACGAGCCCAACACCATATATATATTTATAAGAACTAAGGATATCTCTTAATGTGCTTGACAGGTCTCAGGCAGAAGAGGAAAGAAGTACAGTTTGATTGTAGATAACATCTTGTACTCCGCAAAAACAGTCGTGGTGGTGCTATCGTCTTTTCTTGTCTCACTTGATCCACATGTGCTGGATGGCCGAGGGTTTAGGCTTCATACACCCTGAGGAAGAAACAAAACACAGTTATTTTTTGTGATGAAATACTCTTGATAAGTGTTTCCTTTAGCTTCCTTCTAGCGTGCTCCATTAAGGTGTTTTCCTTTGGTCTTATCTTAATTATAGGATGTAAAATAAAAATGCCAGGAATTAAAACTCAAGCATACACAATATTGTATCTAGTTTTGTCATGAATTATGAGAGTTTTACCTGTGCTTGTCCTTCCAGATGCGGAACCACTTGACCAGATTCTTGGTGCTCTGAAGTTTGGGATGAAGACAGTACTCCTGCCCTTTGAACCGAGCCACATTTTCCATCGTCACACTGAGAGGAAACAACAACCAACATATGTTAAAAAGAATACTATAAATGTTATTATTAAAACATATTAAAATAATGTTTAACCTTATGCATTCCCATTTCATTCAATTTAAGGTTCAAGAGTGCAAGATATTTATTTTTGTATTCATGTAAGCCTTCTTCAAAGGGAGCTTAACATCTCAAATAATAACACAATATTATACACCATTATTCTACTAATAACAGGATAGCAAGCCAAAATGTCAAATATTCACTCATTAAACTGGGACAGCAATATATGCTTGCTACCGTAATAAGATAAGGTAATCCTTAATTTATAAGTGTCACAACAGGGACATTTGCATTGAATGAATAGTGCAACAATGAGAGAATAACAACATTATAATGAATTAGTAAACTGTTGAAAACCAAAATATATTGCATTAAACATCAAATCTAAATGTTTTCACATATGATGGAATTGCACAGGTTATGACATAATAAGTTATATGTTTAAGAAAATAAAATGTGGAGATTAAACAATACAAATTTGAAATTCAGTGCAATCATTCGGTTACATAAGGTAGTTTTATCAGGCTGCATTATATGTTTGGAGTAATACATAACCATGTAATCTTAAACAGTCAGAGAGAAGTCTGAGTCCAGCTACAGGAGAAATGTTTTTGAATGAATTTCAAAGAACCAAATCAAGTAGAAATACAGATTTAAGGGGGTATTTAAATGATCTGAAAGGGAATCTGATTTATTTTGAATAGAGGCTATCAAAACGTAGCACATTTGACATGTTTTGCAGCAAACCTTAGATTCAATTCTAAATCGCCCTCAATAACATTCCCGCAGTTAAAAGCCCTCCCATTGAAAAGCACAGGGCCGACAGCCACTTGGCAAAGCAGTAATATTATGGAGCTGCCACTTAAAAATGTGACATCCAAGCTCATTGAATCAGTTGCTCTGCTAAAGGCAATGGTAGAGACAGTCTGCCCGCATGTGGCATATTCAGGCCAAACAAGTGAATTGTGGGAAAAACACCCAGCATGCCGTGGGGCCTCTCCATCCAGTGACACACTCAAAGGCTCGTCAAACCATGAATGCTTAATAAGTTGACTGGGGGAGAAAAGACCCGTCTCTAAATAAAAACACAGCATTCAGTGGTTATATGGTTTTAAGTTAAAGAGTTTTGCATCTTTTCTCCTGCTCATTCAGTCCCTTTGTGTGGGTTTGAGGGGCAGCTGTATGAGCTTTGTTAGTGAAGAAATGAGCTTTGAGTGCATGAGAACATTAAAGTGCTTTTGTATGCGTGCATGCCAATGGACTCATATCTGCAAGGCTGCAATAACAAACACACACAGGATGTTTATCCATAGAGAGGGGAAACGTAATCCTCATTACTGCTTTAGTTCCTCCTCATTGTCATTCACCTGGGCGGCTGACTGCAGACACTGGCTCTAATTTGGTCTGTAAAAGGTTTCATAAGCACAGAGTCAGGAAGAGAAGGAAGGGAAACAGCTAAAGGAGGTATTTAAGGGCAATAGGGAAGAGAAAGAAACTCTTTACTGGCGTATTTCCATTTTCTGCTACTTTAAACCACTACTTCACTCAATTTAAAGGGGAAATAATCCATTTATTTTGAATCAAATGTATTAGACAGCTGCAACAAGTTACTTTGCTGTAACAAACATAAGCTTCACCTTCATAGCAACAAAATAAAAAAGTTATACTGTATATAATATAATATGTATACACTCATTGGCTATCCTGCATACATTTTATTCGATAAATTAAGTGAATTTTGCTGATAATACTTATACTTCTCTAGAGATTGAAGGGCTTGTTCTTGTAATGTTATTAGAGAGGCAGCTAGAAAAACAAAGGGCACAATAACAAAAAAATGTGATAGGAAAAAGAAAAGATGGTGAATAATGTTTTGAAAGAGAAAAGGTAGTTAAAAGACTGATTGGAAAAGAGAAGAAAAGAGAAATTCGGAGAAAACAGGGACACTTTGTGGCTCCGGGCTTGTGTGCAGTTTGGGGAGAGGGCGCTCTGAATGCCAAACTGAGCTCGGAAAGCCAAACGGCCGCAGCAGAGGCCAGAGGGGGACTCGTTCTCTCCCGCTCTCTTTCTTGGAGCTTTCCGGAGCCCGCTAAGATTCGTTTTTCACTGGGCACCTGGTGGCCCCCCATCTCATGCTAATAGAGGCATTAAATACTGGCTGTGTCGTGGGGAACACACACACACAATTCTAGCACAGTTTTTTTTAACCCCAACACAAGGATTACCCAAACTGAATGTTTGAAATTGTCTCATAGTATAGTTGACTAAGCACATACGTTTATTTATAAAAAAATGTATATTCATTTTAAGAAATTATGTTATTTCAGGGCATAGACAACAAGATGAAATGTAGTTAAAACTATATATTTAAAAGCAGCAAATGAGAAGGTAGAAAACATAAATAAATAATAATTATAATAAAATAATATAAAGAAATGAACATAGATTTATTGTCAATTGTAGAGTTAATATCTTAGTGTTCAGTCTAAACATGTCATCATAAAGCCCAAACAAAGATGTCCTTCTCTTACGGGCTCATGGTGTTGACCTACATCCTTTCCTTGGACACTTATTTAAACTTTATAATCCACTTTAATACATTACCCTAAACAAGTCTTCACTTTATAATGTAATGATGTACAGAAATTCATTTTGGTCCCTAAAATAAAACAAGATATATTTCACATTCTCAGAATACGGTTCTCAAGCTGTTGACCACATCGTGTTCTCTCTGTGATTTTGTAACTTGCCAGCAGATGGCAGCAGAGTTTTGTATTTAAAAACATAAAACGGTCTCCAGGGAGGCTGACATAACATCCCATCTGCAGCTCCTCCATGAAGCTTTGACATGGAACTTCAAATGAATCACTCAAGGAAATGATAGTTCACATTTCTAGCTATGTTTGAGACTCAGCTCGCAGGAGTTGACCCAAGATCATTGTAAAAATGATATACTAGACTGTATATATATATAATTTTAAAGGTTATTTATTCAAAGTTTTCTATCTGAGTGCCGCAGGGGGGTTTGAGTTTGAATCCCTCTGGAGGAAGAGACCTAACAATCAAGCTGGTTTCCACAACATTAACATTTAACATAATAGCTGTCTGTCTGCTACAGCTCTGATTGTATGGGTCAAAGGTCAGACAGCAGAGTGAGAGTATAGGGGTATGGATCAACAAATAAGCTAAAACTGCACACTGACCCTGCCATTGAGATGTAATAATTCCCAGAAACAAAAATAGAGGGGAAGACAAGTGAACAAATCAAATATTTTGGTCTTTATTTGTTACTCGATATGGCACTATGTACCAAATAATCTGTTTTAAATAATGCTATTGTTGTTATTTTTATTCATACTGTTACTTACATTTCCATTATTATTTATATTCTAATTATTCTTGCAAAATCTTACCTGTCCAATCCTGGATGTGTACTCTTACGTAATGAATAGAGGTTTATCATATCTTATCGTATCTTACCAAAGATGCATTTGTATGTGATGTATACATTGAACACAACATATGAGTAGTAGGATATAAACTGTTTGATATTCTATCATTAAATGCCTGGAAATTCCACTAAGGCTCGTATTAGATTGTCATCTGTTTAAAAGGGTTGTTTCTTTTCTCCCCACATTTCCAACGTATAAATACTTTCATGCTCCTGACAGCATGTGTATGTCTAAATCACCAGTTAGTCATCACACTGTTAATACTCCTAAGTGCTTTGAGCACAGGCGACAGTGTTTTGATAAAGCCTGTACGGACGCCAAATATTCTTATGGCCTTTGCACAGTCACGGTTGTATACCTGGGAGTCAAACAGGTTCAAATACTGTGACATGTAGTGCGTGCCAGCACAGGGAAGAAGAAAAGGTGGGAGGGGAGTAGAGAAAAACAAGCATAGAGAAGATGGGTAGAAACAGGTCATGATCGTAGAAAAAATCCTATAAAGGACATGAAGGATAAAGAGAAGAAATAAAAGGAAATGATGAGAGAAAGAGCTTTACAGAAAGGAAGAATGAGAGAGTGAAAGAGATGAAATGTCTCACTCACAATATCATCTTCTCCTGGCAGAACGGGTGTTTGGGTTTGATCTCCAGCTTCTGCACATCCTTGTATCTGATCTTTGGTCCCTTTCTGGTGCACTTGCACTTGTAGGCTGCAGAGAAATCAAACACACACAAGTCAGACTGACACAAGTAACACAATGAACTTGTAATACTGGGGGTTTAAAACACAATGGAAACTGTCTTTTGTCCGACAGATTAATACAGTTAGACTAAACACTACCTCTGCAGACAGGAGGTAGGGGTGATTTGACTGCAAATTCAAGGGGGACCGACAAGGGGAGATTGACAGAACCAATATTTAATCATCAAAGGCTTTACAAAAACTGCTTCTTTAACGAACTCCTTAGTTTATGTACAAAATAGTACAATAGGTCGCATTGAAACATGTTGAAAAATAAGAATAAATACATAATTCAAGGCTGAATGAGAATTAATAGATTTTTATTCTAGTTTGCATGTAAAACTTTTGCAAATGTTGTACTGAACATATGTTTAAAGCCACTTCCAAATAAATGTTAGTTTAGCAGTTTATCCAATGCAACAGTTCACACTGAATGGATTGTAAACAGAGAGAACCTGTGGATTGAATGGAAAAAACCCTCTTCATTTTACTTTTGGGTAACACACCTCTTAGGTATTTGTATCTACATTTGTTTCAGCCTAACACCTTCCTGCAGGTTTCAAGTTATTGTGACTTTACGCTGCAGAATAAAGGCAGAGGAAATTAGTTTTTCCTGGTTGTATATCTGTAATGGCGGGTGATGACCTGGATAGTCCAAGGTTTCTTTCATCCATCACGTCTAACTGTCCTCACCCCGACCACTAAATGTGTCAGGATTCACACAGACACCCCGGACAACACAAACTCATAATACTGAAGGTTATGTATCCATCCTGTGTGATATGGTTTCTAACTGTCTATAAGATTTTGGTATGAGCCTCTCTCTTCTTGACTGTATATCCTGCCATGTAGTTAATACAGAGTAGCAGAGTGAAAGTTATTGGTTTGTAATTCATTGGTTTCTCTTGTTTTTGCTCAAAACTATGAAGCTGGTTGAGTGCATTTGACCAATATCTGCTTTCAAAAGAGCTGACAAAGACAAAAAATGGCCCTTGTAAACATGCATAGTTGTTTTCCTTAAAAGTTGTTGTCTTCCTCTATGTATATTTCAATAACGTTTAAGTTTTGCAGGTGTTTTAAGTTCAACATTTATTTTTCATTAAATATGTTATTCACAAAAAACAACAGCCCCCCCTCCACATGGCCCCATGAAAACTGGCTTTAAACTGTGTCAGTTACATATGGTGAGTTTCTCTTGTCCTGCCAGAAACACAGAGTCCCAGAGAGGTGTTCAGGGTGAGAAAAGGCTTGCTGGGTCAACATAAGGCTCATTTTTCAGACCATAGATTTCAAAGTACAATAATATGATGTAACCTGTGATATGGTATTCATAATTACTTTTATAAAAGTGTATGGTAAAATAAGGCTGTTAATAGAGTGCTAAATTACAAGATTGCATGCAGCAGGTGGCATATTATCAACATAAAGTGTTTTTGTGAGCATAAGTATGCAAGTGAACACACCACTGATACACTTAAGCTAGGCTGTTGTTTTCCAAAACTGTGCTGGAGATTTGGGGATCTTTGGCATCAACTTTACTCTTGTTTTAGAATAACTCTGGATGGAAAGACTAGCCTACTTTTAAACGTTCATGCACACAACAAAAAAGTACATTAGGCAAATCTGTCTCCACCCAATCTTTGCTAGTCAGTTACATCACCACATCTTCCATCCAAAACACCTCCAATTATATAAAAAAATAAAATAAACTTCTACTAAAATTGAACAAAAATAGCTTACCTTCTGCGCTAAAGACGTATAAGGCCACCACTAACAAAAGCAGCACCGCCGTGCACCGATGCATCTTCAAAGGTAACAAACAAACACAAATGTTTCTTTAAAAACAAACTCCTAAAACTCAGATTCCTCGAAAATCAATCGACAAAAGTCTTTCGAAATAAAATCCACATGCAGTGTCTGCTGGGGTGCAGAAGTGAAGGAGCTGAGGAGGGTTTGTGCTTTCTTTCAGTCTCTTTGGAGCTGATCGGAACTCCGTCTGTGCGTCCTGAGCCTGGATGAACCTCCTGTCTCTCCTCTAGGTCTCTCTCTCTTCCTCTCTCTCTCACGCCTGCTCTTTTAAAAGCAGCCCGCTGTCCCCTGCTCATTAATATGCACGGCCAGACAGCGAATCAAACACTTGTGGCCGGAGAGGGAGAAGTGGAGAACATGGAAAGGGACGGAGGGAGGTAGGAGGGGAAAATGCGCATATTGTTCCCCAAAAAGAGGGTAGAGTGACGTCTGCTGTGGTAGACCAGTTTATGTTGTAACAGATCCGCTTCTGTCCTGATTAAAACTGACGGTAACCTTATCCGGAAGTGGAGTAAAGTCATAATAGGACCATTGGCTACATTGCGCAGTTTGAATGCTACAACAACGGAATGTAGCTATTTGCTCTATTAGTTGTTTGTGTGTAGTTATGTTGGTCAACACTTAAACGGCACACGTTTTGACAGAGTTCATGAGTTTTACATTATGTCTTTGATAAGTCCAGGTTTGGTATCAGTTCATTAGCACTTTGCGGGGTTACCATGGCCACATAGAATAGTCGTTTCTGATTGGCTAAAGAGAGAAGATTGCAAACGTAATAATTTAACATCCAAGGTTCAGCCACATTTTCTGAATGGATAGTTAGTTGAAAGTTCATTATAGTAAGTAAATATGTAAGGGGATGATGTGCAGCGAAGTGGTCATTGATTAAAAAAGAACGACAGGTTGATCATGGAGCCCGAGTGAGGCCTGTTCACAGTTTCTGTTTACTAACAAGTCCTTAAACAATCCCAGAGTAGCCCATACCTTGTTCCTGTCAGTGTTTACCTCCCGTCTGTCTTCTTCTGATGATTTATCTGACATCCAATGCTCTGTCTTTTAACCTCTTTCCTTCTCTACTTTTATTTTTATTTTTTTATTATTACATGTTAGGTCTACTTGTTAGACGCTTTTATCCAAAGCAACTTACATACTTAATACTGTGGGCAATCCCCACAGGAGCAATTTGGGGTGAAGTGTCTTGCCCAGGGACACAACGACATGCTGACTGCAGTGGGGTTTGAACCTGTGGTCCCCCTGATCCGAACACCAACACACAACCCACTGCGCCACACGCCTCCACTTTGATCCTCCTTAGCAACAATAATGTTATGCTTATCAGTGGTGTTTTATAGAGTATTAATAACCTGGGGAAAAAGTAGATCAGTAGTCTTTTTCAAAGAAAAATCAACATATATACTCTGCAAATGTTGAGTTTAAAAGAAGGATATAAGTATTGTAAAAATATGTACAAAATAAGTTTAATTTTATCATTATCTCACACAAAAAGTAGCAACATATATTTTAGGTTGAAGAACCGAACCAAACTTCCTAAAACATTAAGAACCTCCTTTGAATAACCAATCATATAATCAATAATAATTTCCTCAATAGTGTCACTGTATTGTGTGAAAGTGAATAAAAGCCACCATTGTATCTGAGGATGCCATCAGGCTGAAACAGTAACAGATAGCCCTGAGAAGAAGGTCTGACCCCACCCACCTGGGACACTCTGACCACAGGATTAAACAGGATTCATCACAGTCCTGCATCGTGTGTGTGTGTGTGTGTGTGTGTGTGTGTGTGTATGTGTGTGTGTTCACCTCCCTGCCCTGAACTCTGATGCAATCAGCTGCTGTCATTACTCAAACCAGTGGCCATGAAATGTCTGTCTGCACCATGCATTTAGTGTGTGTGTATACAGTTTGTTCATGCCCTACATATTCATTTTTGTGTGTGTATGCACGTGAGTATGAGCATATTTGTAAAATGCCGATGCCTGATCAGCGAGGAATCAAATGGAAATCTGTCTTGACTTCAGCGCCTGTCTTCCCTTCCTTTGCATGGTGCTCTGGTTAAACAGCAAACATCAGTAGGACATTTACTGCCAGCTGTGAGAGATTAAGATGTATGTGACTGCTGCAGGACACTGATGCTGCGTGAATCCATCTCTACTCATTTTGTTCTGAAGATAAAAGACATCGGTGAGCTGTCTGTTCCAGTCTTCAGCTGCAGGGACTGATAATCAGTCTGACGTCTGTTGTCTCCATCCATTAGATCACTGCAGCCTCACTGAATACTAGAGAAAGGAAATAAATTGATGTTGAATAAATACAGAGGATTGCATCCTGAAGGAATCTGTCTTGAAATGATGACGAAAATGACATCACTTTAAAGAAATGTGTAATCGGTCATGGTGCTGGTTCAGAAAAAGGTTTTGAAAATTCCGAATTACAGAACATAACGAGGAATATCTCAATACTTGAATATATTTATATGTTTGTTTAACAGTATATATTGCTGGCTGTTGCTGGTGAGGTGTCATTTTAAAAAAACACAGAAAAACTCATGTTAAATCTTTTTGGCAGCCTGAGGCATCAGCGAGAAATTGAAAATAGATCATTGTCATTTAGCCAATAAACACTTCACATCCTGACACGTTGCAGAATAAAAATATATTTCCATCACTTCATCAACTGAGACAGCTGTTTTGTGAAAGTAGTTGTCAGAATACTTTGGGTTAGCTGCGAGTCTCTCTAAGTCTTTCAATGTGAATTCATCACAAAGAGAAGGACTGCATGCTGGACTCCATCTGCCTCTCCAACCTGCACAGTGTGTAGTGGCTCTAAGTGCACTTGGCAGCGGCGTAGGTGCAGAGCTAATTCACAGGAAATTGCACAGTTTACTCCAAAGTCAAACATGGCAGAGGGGGTGTAAAATGTGCTGGGGCTGTTTTACTTTGTAATGATGTTTGGGAAAAATGTGACAGGAGAGTACATTGTGAGTGTGTTTACAGCCGGACAGAGTGTCTATATATAAATACAGGCTGCAGTCTAACTAACACACACAAAAACCTTGTCGGGCTGATTATAACCATCAGTGCATAAACTATCTCTGCATGCAACTGCTGCGAAACAAAACCCATAATTAAACTACGATTACGTTTTTTTATGTCGACATTGGCGCCCCCAGCACATGCAATTGTTCAGGAAGCACAGGGAAAAATAATTTTTGAATACCATATTTCTTAAAAATATATGTTGTGGTTATATGTTTTAACCAGTCTAGAAAGAAAATGGCCAACTAAGGATCATTATATCCCACAATTCTTTCTCTTTGTGAATGATCTATAAAGGACGACTCTTGTTTTTATCCGTGCTATAACCTCTGTTGTTCAATTATTTTTTCTCTCTGTTTGCTAACCCTGTCTCAGTGTCAGCCATAACCAGAAATTCGTCAAAAATAACATGTTGTCTCAAGACAAACGTTTCCTGCCTCCTTTAACTAGCTAACGTAACAGCACTGAAAATGTAAAGCTAGGCTGTAAATTGTATAGTCTGATTGTGGAGTATTGGACCGGGGGACATGCATTATGAATAATTGTAAAGAATTAACCATGAAAAAACAAAAAACAACAACTATTCATACATCTTGCTTAAGAAGTAAATTCCAAAGCATCCGAATGAACATCAGGTTCACTTTAGACATGAATGAACAACACCTTCATGAGCCTTATACACTTAATGATGAGGTTTAAACAAGCTAGACTGAACACATATTTTAAATCTATCATGAAGGAAGGATTTAATCTGTCTGAAGACATGGAGGCCGGATCCTCAGGGGCCGACATGTTATTACTGTGTGTCCACTGTGAGACTCACTGTCGTTGGAAGTCAGATGATTTTAGGTAATCTTCACTTCTGAGGGTAGTTTGAGGGCTGAGATTAGAGGGGTAAGTGAATGTGAGGAGGATGTAAACAAAAACACCTCAAACGTAACCTGTGTGAATGACTGTTTTTTCTTTTTTGTAGCAAAGCTTTCAGATAAATCACAGGGCTATCAAGAATAGTTGCTTCAAGTACAATAACAATAATAAAACCCTTGATAAAGTTACTTTAAATAGGTGGAAGTGAAGCCTTAACACATTGTGCTTTAAACCATGTCAACATGTAAAATAACAGGATGTAATTTCTTGATGAAATGTCGTATTTATCTACACGATTTTCCAATATTTTGTTACTTTTTCCGCAAATTAGCTTCAGAGAGTTGCCCAATATCTATCGTATAGTTCAACTTTAAAAAAAACGTATTTGCATGTTTGTTTGGGTTTCTTTCAGGAGCGTCTGTTCCCACAGGACGTTGAGAGAAAAACAACTCTGAGATTTGCATGCAGACAGGTCAGCTCGTGGACAGACAGGGAGGCAGGTGCTGGAGGTAATTGCAGAAAAATAATTACGCTCTATACTAGGGAGTACAGGCATGTAGGAACAATGTATTCAGACACACAAACACACACAGTTGGGCAGATACTGGGAAATAATTGCTGGTATTAATGGGAGGCTTAACTGTGACTATGTTGTGCCGTTTCCCTGCTGCAGATTATTCCAGAAGCCATTCATAAACCAGAAGAACCAGAATATTTCTCTATGTAAAGCACACCATTTTGTGCATATACACATCTGTGTGTGTGAGCAGTAGGCGGACACACAGGAAAGTGGACAGACCAACAGGAAGGTATGCAAAGGTGCAGAGAGGCAGACAGGTGTGAGAGGATAATTCCTCTCAAGTGAATGAAGTCAGGAGGAGGGCGAGGCTAATGGCCCCGGGCGGAGATTTAACTGCTGTTTAAACTGTCATGTTCACATCATGCTGCTTTCATAAGTTCACAGCCATCAGGCTAAGTAGTGGCGGCAAGCTAGGTTTAACTGGAGGTTGGATCTTTTTCCTCTTGTACTCCAGGGCGCCATTGCTTTTCTCTTGTGGCCACTTCTTGTTCCCTTTTAAGCCATTGTAATTTTAAGTATTTGTTTAGCCATGTTTTTTGACTTTTTCTATTTTGTATCAGTCTATTGAAGTTTATTGTTGAATGTATATTGAAAAGGAAACAACAACACCTACACTTCTAAGGCACATTTAGACTGAAACAAATGTTCCACTTCCTTTCTGCAAGCTGCACATGATTGTTTTTGCAGAATTGTACTGACAGCAAAGATATACTGTACACAAACATGATTGGGTGTGTCTTTGTTGTATCTATCTGAAAAGGTAGGTTTGGAATGATTCAGAATGAAAAGGATGTTTGT